GGAAATGTCCCCAATTGGTTAAATACATACAGAAAAGGAATTACACTGAAGGACACCATTCTCCTAAATACAGTATTTTGTGTGACTGTTTGAAATTCCCTATATTCTAATAAAGGGGTGAAATAATAGAAATCATAGATATTAGTTCTTCTTTTCTGTATACCATTGAAGGGAACACATCATAGAGAAAGTTTCTGTTCATGTATGTGCATTTATGCATGTTAAACTTATGATTACATTTTTGAAGACAAAACTGAAAACTACATGCTAGGGATCTTTGGATGAGGTTGAGAGGAAATGCATAATTTTCTCAACTAATATGTGAAATGGTTTAGTGGGCTTTATATTTTGTGCCGAAATAAATGAAGGTTATTTTGTGTGAGAGTAGACAGAAGAACCATCTAAAACCATCAATCCTCTGGATTGTATAATATTGGATCCCTGTTTATTAAGATCATATGATATTCAGGCACACATATTTTAAAAGGCTAACATTAACTGGAGAGTTTTAACATCCTAATGGTAACTCATTCACATTTCCACACTACTCTATATATTTCTAGTTCATCATAAAAATGGATATGGGTTCACATTCCTGCATACTAATGAGCAGGATAAAATTAATCTCCTTCCCCTCTTTTTATTTATTTATTATTTGTAAGATTTACATCCTGCCTTTCCTCTGGGAGCTCAAGGTGACATACACAGCACTCCTTTCTCCCAATTTTATCCACTACAGTGGTCCTGCAAGGCAGGCTGAGAAAAAGTGATTAATCCAAGAGTCATCCAAGGAGATCCCCTGGCTGAAGATGGACTTGGACCTGGGTCTTCCAGCATAAGTCCAATATGTTAGCTACTATCTCACACTGTCTCTCCATCTTTTCCAGATGAGCAGTGACCACCTTTCAATTCAAGAATACTTTTTTTTTTCAGAAATACCTACCATTTGACAAATGTTGCCACTTGTGCTGCTTCTAGCTAAGGTACTAGCCCAGCCCCGCCACAGCCTTCCCATTCCCTACTTTTCCATATTTTCTATTCATCCTCCAAAGAAGCATTGTGTGCTTACTGAATATTCCCAATCCTTAATAGGCTATTTTGACTTTCACCCTATAGCTCATTCCTGGAAGATTTGAGGGATTATTTCTCCCCATCTTGCTGGCCCCTCTCTTATGAGAGCAGATAGAGGAGGCAGATTTGGCTAACCTTGGAAACTAAGCAGGGTTAGGCTTGGTTACTATTTGAATGGGAGACCACCTGAGAACATCAGTGTTATAAACTAAACCAAGTCCAAAAATAGCCCAAAGAAAGGCAGTCGGCAAACTGCTTCCACATTATCGTCAACAAAACAAAATGAAATGCCCATGTAGGCAGCCGGGAGCTCAGCCTGACTCAAGGGAGACTTCATTTCTTTTAATGATATTTTGGTTCCATAATGATCCACACTCTGAAAATTAAATTGAATAACTTAATACATAGGCTGTTATTTTCTGTTGTGTTAATTTGTTTCTCCGGGTTTACTGTTGCAGTGCTTTAAATGTGATTTTTAATCTTTTTTCCCCATTCCGTATTCTTTTCTTGGTCTCTTTTTTTTAATTAGTCACTTTTAAAGTGTGCTTGATAAGCAAGGATAACAATAGCCAAGGAAACATTCCTTTCCAGATATAAAATAATGTCTGTATTTTTTTTTTTTATTCAATGCTCGGAAGAGAAATAGACTCTAATCAACTTAAAAAAGGGGCTCCTTGGAATAACTGCATTCAAATACATTTTTCTAGCATTCTTGGGCAATTGGTATCAGAGGCAGCTCATCAGATTCCTGAAAGGAAAGGAATGATTGGGCAAGACTTTTTCTTCTAGATTTGAGGATCTTCCCCCAAGTTCTTTCCTTGCAACCATTTCTGTACAGTTTGCCATAAAAGGAAAGCTCTTTTTCTTACTCCTTTTCAGCCATTCCTTTTCACACGTTTTTGTATTAATGCTTATGAAAAAGAGCATATTCATAAACCTCTGCCAGAGGGGCCATGTGAAACAATAAAAGGTGAGTAAGCTTCTGTGGAGGAACAAAATCTGGTCCCCTTTACCGAAATAGTCCCCTTTGCCTGCATGTAGACTTCCAGGCACCCATTCCCACCTATTTTCTGCTGTACCATGTCCCAATGCCCACTGACCAACTCATATGAGTTCACATAAACTGTGACAAAAGCATACATATTGTGCTTCTCTCAGTCTACAACTCTTCCTTGACCCTATTACCCTGTGTGCCAACTTTTGTGGATTCTGCAGGAAAAGAAGCAACTTCAGGAGGCATCTGACATTTTGCAAACATTAGGGGTTTTTTGTACAGTAAAAGAACCAGCCAGGTCTGCTGCCTTTCCCTTTGTTTACATCAGTGTTTCTTAAAGTGTGGTCTTAGGACCCCGGGGGTTCTCCCAAGACCCCCTCAGGGGTCCTTGAAATCAAAATTATTTGCCAGCCTATGTTGAAAAATAATGCAATATTAAAATCAAACTATCATGAGAAGTGGTAGTGGCAGCAAATGCATTGATTTTAATTTTTAATACGGTAAATATCGTTAAGTATAACCCATACAAACAAAAGCTCTTTTGGGGTCCTCTATAATTTTTAAAAGTGGGAAGGGGTCCTGAGAGAAAAAGGTTTAAGAAATACTGGTTGACATCAAATATTTGTCCTGCGCTGAACTCTGGTAAGAGTGTTTAAGACCTTCAGGCAGTGAAGCAACTTCAACACTCAATGGCATCTTTTTTCAAATGAACATTTCATGGTTTCATGGAGGCTGATTTCCTCCTAACCAAGGCATGAACGTGCCCCAATAACTGGGTTGTTTATTTGTTTCTTCATGTCCTTTCTTATCTGTTCCGATATTAAAGTACTATAATGTTTTTCCTCTTTTCCCAACTGTGGAATTGGCTGTGGATATGATCTGATACATTTTGTGTAGACCATTCGGTTGCCAACAAGGTCAGCAATTGGTATCTGCCCTTGCTCTGATTGGCTACTTTGGCCTGCTACTGGCACAGTCCCTCCCCTCTGGTCGCTGGGCACTCCCCCCTCCTGCCCATGGCTATTTTGGCTTAGGCTGCAGGAGAGAAAAGCTGGGTTTAGTGATTTCTTGAAAGAAAACCAGATCTATGCTGCACATTTAATTGGTTTTTAATTGTATTTGAATTCATCTTGTCTTCATTTTTGAATGACTGCTGGGCTGCGGTCTAGTTTATGTGGTGTTTTTATTTTGGATTGGATTGGATTTTATTGTATATGTTTTTACTCAGACTGTATTTTTTAGTATGTTTTTTTTAAAACCTCCAAGAGAGCTTTAGCTATTGGGTGGCTTAAATGTTTTTATTTTTATTTTTAAAGGGTTGATTTAACCCAGTAAAGAGAGTCAGCTTCTTCTGGCTTTGTGTTGCTAGCTCTGTTGCCATAGGGTATATTATACATTTCCCACTGCTTCTGCTGATAAAGAGTTTTCATGAGGCTGTATTTTTCTGCCATTTGATTATTTTTACTATTTTGGAGGGTTCATGCATGAGCACTCTGTTAGCCTGACTGGGCAATGCTCCCAAACTGCTATCAGGAGGCTGCAATATCTATGATACTTTGTGTAATGCCCCACAGTTACTTATGGCATCCCACAAAGCCAGCTGGGTGACCTTGGGCCAGTCACTCAACCCTAGGAAGAAGGCAATGGCAAAGCATGTCCAAAAAACCTTGCCAAGAAAACTGCAGGGATTTGTCCAGGCAGTCACCAGGAGTCAACACTTGACTTGAAGGCATATGGGAGGGTAGCGTCATTTTACCCGTGCCATTCCAGCTTTGGCTGCACTGTGTGCCATGTTGGCCATGATGCATGAACTAATCAGTACTACAAGATTACAAGTTCCCGGGGGGGGGGCACCAGCAACTTCTGGCTGCTACTGTCCATATAATCAGAACCAGGTTCCTTGGTTGCTCATTGGCATTCCCTCGTAACACTTTCCCACAATAAATAGGCAAGGAGAGCAGAGTTCTCTGGCCTTGTTACTATGGCAGGATACGGACTGGCAGTTGGGGCAGCACAATTTCTGCCTGCTCGAGAGCTGATGGATTGCACTTTTAATCTGACCATCTGGATGAGCCCAGAGAAAAATACTGCATGTATGAATAAAACTGGATCTGAATCAGCATTACAGTACATGTAACAGTCAAACTCCGTACAGCATTACTTCTTGCAAGGCGGTGAGGATTCCTCTTGGGTAGCCTACACAAGTGTAAGCTTTAGGTCCAGCCTTTTTAGTGAAGCATAAAAGAAACGGATCTGTAGCTGGAGGAGGGATATCTCCCATCTTTCTTTCTCACCTTCCAAGGCTATGAGAAAAAAAAACGGAAGCAGATTTCTAAGGATACAGGAGGCATTGTTTCCTCCCACCACACAACACTTCTCCATCTGCTGCAGAGTCATTGTCTTGCAAAAGTTGCAGCCAGGGTTGGCCCCATGGCAAATCCTGCTACTGTGACAACTGTACCTGATTTAGTGGCAAGGCCAGATTTAGCCTTGGGCCACTAGTTGCCGATCCCTCGTCCAGCCTCTCCGCTGGTAGCTCGGGAGGGAGTAGTGGAACGTCACGTGCTCTTCAGGCCGCGTGCCGTGTTTGCAGACGGAGCGTTCTTCGGCCTGCTTGTCATTGTATCAACTGTCGGACGTCTCTGGGGCGCGCTGCCACGGGGGTTATCCTCTTGGCAGTTGTAGTCCTACCCTACCTCTGCCCTCCCGCGTTCCCCGCCTAGGCAACCTTTATCGCCACCTCCTCCTTTCCCTCTCCCCGTCTGCTGCATTGATTGATCACTTCACGAAAGACTGCCCTATCTTGCCAAGCACGATCTCTGCTAGGTGGACTTTAGCTTTCCCTGATTGCATCGCAGCCCTGGCGTGACACAGCTCGGCGATGAGCAGCCGGGACAATTATTGGACGGGGGAGTGGCTGGAGCGGCGAGCTCCCTCCGTGCCGGTGGGTACATCGGCGGAGCGCTTTGCCCCCTCGAGCTCCGTCTGCGTACAAGCCCAGTATCCGCCGCTAGCGCTCTCTCGCTCCGCCCCGCCGCCTGCCTTTCCTATCTAGGGGCTCATCCAGAAGCAGTAGCAGAGCCGCGCCAAGCGCCGCTCTGGCTGCCTCCGCACTTCGGAGGGATCTTTCGATCTCGAGCAGCTGCGCCCGATTCGCTTGGACTAGAGAGCAGGCAGAGGCGCGCGCCCTCGAATTGGAGTGTGCATCGGGGGAAAAAGGGAGAGAGAGAGAGAGAAGCACTAAGACTCAGACCTTGTAAGTGATCTTGGGGGAGAGCTGTTGGTGCACCATTAGCGGGTGCGGGGTGGGGGGTAGGTGGCTAGAAGTATTAGAAGAGTTACAGGTGGGAAAACTTCCTGATCGAGGAAGGACAGAAGAGAGACTGGCCCTGATCGACAGTCAGGGAGGTCTGATTGTAAAATGCTAGCTGAAGTCTCCTCGCACACCGCTTACGCTTTTTCAATTTTTTAGGCTGCAGTCGTGGGTGCGCTCATTTGGAAATTATTCTCTTGAATTTAACAGACTTTTCTTTCCTGGGTAAGCAGAACGCGCAAGATCCAGATGTAACCTTTTGCACGTTTTACTTAGGAAGAGTCTCATCTACAGATGGGATTGACTCCTGGGGGGGTTGTGTGCCCTCCCCCTCGCCTGGGTTAGAGCCTGTGTGGGTTAAAAGAACCTTCTTCCATAGCAGCAGATTTATAGTGAACCTTCTCCCCGTTTCATTGTTTTTATTCTGTACTGTTTCTTCTGTTTAATGGGTGGGGGGGAACCCCTAACCTTAAATGTTAATAGGGTTTGCTGTGGTGCCCAATTTGCTCAATAAGAAAAGTGGATGTTTCTGAAGCATCTTGTGGCAGCTTTCTTCAGTCTGTGCCCTTCAGATGTGTAGGGACTGCAAATCTGAGAATTCCTATTGGCTGTGTTCACTGGAAATTCTGGCAACTGGAATCCCAGTTCTTCTCAAGGGTTGGGGACCAATGGATTCTGTGAAGAGAGAGGCTCTATATAACACCAATCCCTACCTCTCCTTTGATTTCCTCATCTATATCCCAACTCTCTTCCCCAGACAGTTCCCTAACTGCTGAGAATGAGTGCCTTCCAACCAGGACACCCTAGTTCCAGTTTTAGGTTTACCTGGTGTCTGTGAACTGCACTCAGTCCACTTCTCATCTGAACATGGGGAGCGATGACCAAAACGATGTGCTGAGATAATATGTGCACCCAAATATTTATAAGTATGTAAATACCGCCCCCCCCCCATCTAGAGATCATTGCAATCAGCATCTTTTCCCAAAAATACCGTAAGGTGACTTTTTTCTGATATTTAAGAAGGGAAGAGAAAGGCAATAACCAGGGGCACCCACATTGTGTTAACCAAGAATGTGGTTTCTTTGGTTTTGGTTATGTGAACCCAGCTATTGTGGCTTGTGAACCATGAGTTTTAGCTTAGCATGTTAAACAAACCCAGCCATTTATGGCTTATTTAGTAAATTGTGGTTAAACAAAGTATGGCTGAGCTGAGTCAGTGTGACACCCAAAGACAGCTGGGGTGGAAAGTATAGCTCCTAGGTGCTATACTTTGAGTGCCCTTGATTCTCCCTTCCATCTTTTTGCCTCTCTGGTGTCTTTAGTGGTTCAGCCATAGCTAGGTACAATAGGAGGCTGTGACTTGACTAGTTCAGGTTTCAGTCATGAAGAGAATAAAAGGGTGGAGGGGTAGAGGAGAGAAAGACTGAAAGACCATGTGCAGTACCCTGAACTTTTTTGATAAAAGATGGAAATATAAACATAATTGAACTAAGATATTAAATTTAACCGCCCAAGACATTTCACTTATGTTTCTCCACACCTGCCCCTTCTCTTGCATCCAGTGCTGCCCCTTCACTCTGTGATGGAAGCAAACATGAGAAGAAGCCGTGACTAGAAACAGGACTCTCTCATTCCACCAAAGAGGCATCCTGTGTTCCCTCCCTGCACCATCACGTTCTTTTCCTCTTTAAAAGTCTGATTTGACTGGGAGCTGCAAGACCACATCCAGGAATCCCTCTTTTGCCAGAATGAGAATGGCTGCTGCCTGCTTTAAGGCATCTGATATACATCAGCAGCTCCCAGTCAAGAGTGACATAGAGCAAATAGAGGGAATAATGAAATACTTGGATTGAAAATGGAATGCACTTTCAGGAGGGCTTGTGTCAGACCTGGCCATATCCAGAAACTATTAAAGTTGGGGGAAGCCTTGTTTTGGCAAAGAAGCTGCACATATATTTAGAAAAATTAAATCAGATTGATTTCCACTTAGCACACTGATTCTGCACGCAGACCCACGCTGTGTACGTTTTATCATTTGGAATGGATTTTCCTGAGACCTAGGGCAGACCACGCTTGTATGTGATAATGGGCAACTGCAGTCAATAACTGAAGGAAGGGATAGATCCAGATACCAGTGTCCTATGGAGAAAAAGAACAGCTTCAGTTAACGCTATGGTCCAAAGTTAACTGCATTTAAGATTACAGATTACAATCTTCATAAAAAAGCTTAATGCCATGCTGAATTAGGTCTTACGAAAAAAGGTTGCTTTTTGGTAAAAACGAAGTACTGGATGAAAGCAAATGATGGATGGAGCTTCCTTGTGTCTGAGTGGACTCTGAATTGGATTTCTTTTAAATATACAAAAAAGAAGTAGGGATACAGTGTAAACTGAACCTTGAAAAGCATCCATTTAAAATATTATTACCATCCAAAAAGACAAATTGTGCAAGTCTATTGCAACAAAAAATTAAATAAATCCCACATATCCCACATATATCTCAGTACTTTGTAAATATAGATGAATCGTTGGTCACTTCTTAAAGGATCTGGTTAGTGTTCCTCATACTGTATATGAGTTTCTTTGTAGTGAAAGATTTTAAAAAATCATATTCTTTGTGAAAGCAACCCAGCTTAGCAAAGAAAGGGCCAATGTGAGCATGGCAGGAAAAGAGTTTGCTCTTCCGATGTAGGACTCAGTGTATTTCAATACAACTAGCCTTTCCACTACTCAAACTTCTGATTTCATAATTGAAAGTAATCAGGATTTGAGTGGGCTGTTCTAACTATTTAAGTTACTAGTATGCTATGCAGACAGATATGTTTGCATATGTCAAGATCTGCAGCACTTGCAGAATACTGACAGCCAATGAGAATGTGCTCTTCTTGCCAAAAAGATGAGCACAGAGATATCTCAGTCTTTCAGTGACCAGTCCTCCAATAAATGAATAACAATTGTAAACTGTATTTACATCCTGGTTTGAAGCATCTGTATTTTGGCTCCTTTACCAGCTTCTCCAATGGCCAGACAGACAACCCAATACAACACAAGTAGTGAAATGTAATAACCTCTGCAGAGCCATTCAGAATGGAAATTGCCCCTTCCCCCCCCCTTCCACTTTCACTTGCCCAAAATGTTGAGATTGCAGCAGAATGAAGCCAAGAATTAATATTGGGGAAAATCAGAGTTGGAGGTTCAGTTTGTGAGCAGATCTTCAGCTGCAGCTCATAATGCCCAAAGATCTGAGCTACATATTTACATGAAAGCAGTGCTACCCTGTATAGGATGGTCAGACTGGACAGTTTTATCTCCATACCATAATCACAATTGAAGATGGCCCTTCCATTTTAGAGGTAAATTATTTTGAAAAACAAAACACAATAAAGGATCCCTTCAAATAAATACAGTAATGTTGTCCATGCAAGATAAAAAAGGATTAAACAGATTAAATTGACAGCAAAATTGTTTAAATATATAATGAAAGTAAGTCTCATTGAACTGAGTGAAATATACTCCAGTAGAAGCAAATATAGAATTGCATCTTTAGTGATACCTAATATTCACCCCTTATTATTTGCATATGCACTGTGGAGGGGAAATTTCTTGTAAATAAAAAGTAAAGGAAGAGCATTTGCTTTGAAAAGAATTAGAAAAGTGTTCTGATTTTCACACCTGAGCTTTTGAAAATACAACTTTTTGATAGCCAGAGTGTCTACCTGTCTGTCTGTCTCAGTGGTTACGGGCTTCACCGGTAGAGCAAAGACACTGCTGGAGGGACAGGATAGAGTTTCCTACCTGAAGTTTAATACACCTGTTTTTCTTTTGTTTCCTGCTGAAAATCAGCGGGAAATCACTGGTGATTTCTGGCATGCTTTGGGAGAGGGGGCTCTTCAATTAAAAAAAAAAAAATCATTAGGGGGTTAACTGTGGCTTGCAAGCCATGGGATGCCAATTTCTATCCTAGAAAATAGGTCATGAGAAAAAGAAATATTAGGGACTGTTAATCTTCTAGCTGATTCTTCCAAAATAAGCTCTTACAATTTGAGGCTGCAACCCTATATTCATTCTCACATAGCAAATACAGTACCGGAGCCTCAAACCTTAGATTGGCTTACAGCCCAGAGCTAAATGTAGTATCTTGGGTAGATACAGCTGAATAACTTTCTTCCTAGGAAATACCTGTCTCCATACTTTTCACATCCGTGTGAAAGTATGCATTTAACCTCAACATTGCTTCTCCGTGAAAAAGCCTATGTTTCCCATTTGCCAGAATGATACTGTTCAACATTGCCATGTAAAGAGCTGTTGCAATGTAGGAGCTGGTTGGGTCTCAAAAAACTGTACAGTCCAATCTCATCCTTGCCTCTGTAAATGTGCAATCTTATACACACTTTTACTTGGGAATAGGATTACATAAGTTGCAGCCAGCTTTACATCTGGCATTTTGCCTCATCACCCAATCTGTAATTTGGGAACAATGTGGTGTATTGTTTAATGAATGAGAAATGGGTTGAAAAAATCCTAAAGTGCAGGAATGAACTTTATTGAATGAGCTTGGTCTCTCAGCCTAACCTATTTCATAGGGTTATGATGAAAAAATAAAACTCATATACAACACATGAAGCTCCTTTATATATATTTTAGTATCAGATTTTGCCCTCTTGTTGAATCTCAGGACCAGATAAATGGCAGAATTATACTCACTGGCCTATGCTGAGATTTCTCTGTTATAGATAATATCCAGGTTATCCATTAAGTTGAATATAATTCACATGAGGAGAGATCAAATGAATATAACATTCTTTTATTCATGGAAGTTTTCATTTTTCCCCAAGTTAATATATATTGGAAGAGGTGGGTTGTTAGTATTCAATCCACTAGTTCTATTCAAAGAAAAAGCCAAGAAGGTAGTGATGTAAGAACTTTTCTTGATCTTTGGCTATAGGAAGTTGGTAGATAGCCATTTTGAACCTGATCTTTATTTCTCATTTATTTTGTGCTTAGATTCCATTTTATCTTAGACCACCCTGATTCAATCAAGATGGCATCTTCCTTTGCCTGAAGAAGATTTCTTGCCAGGCAGACAGTGACAGCAGTTGCATCATGGACCAGGATAATGAGTTGCCCAACACCACAGTCTTCTGGTACCCCTCAACTTCTCAGTTTGACAGTTTCTCACAAGAGACTCCAGCTACCAATATTTCCATCAACATCACAAGCCACCACTATGATTTGACTAGCAATGCCATCCTCACCTTCATCTATTTTGTGGTGTGCATTGTGGGCCTCTGTGGAAATACTCTAGTCATCTATGTCATCCTTCGCTATGCCAAGATGAAGACAATCACCAACATCTACATCCTTAACTTGGCTATAGCTGATGAACTGTTTATGTTGGGCTTGCCTTTCCTGGCTATGCAGGTGGCTCTGGTTCACTGGCCCTTTGGAAAAGCCATCTGCCGGATTGTCATGACAGTGGATGGAATCAATCAGTTCACTAGCATCTTTTGCCTCACAGTCATGAGTGTGGATAGGTATCTTGCTGTAGTACACCCCATAAAATCTGCTAAATGGAGGCGCCCAAGAACAGCAAAGATGGTCAATGTAGCTGTCTGGGGCATATCTCTCCTGGTCATACTGCCCATCATGATATATGCTGGAGTGATCAATAATCATGGAAGCAGTAGTTGTACCATGATCTGGCCAGATGAGTCTGGTGCTTGGTATGCTGGCTTCATCATTTATGCCTTTATTCTTGGTTTCTTAGTGCCCCTAACCATCATTTGCCTTTGTTATCTTTTCATTATCATCAAGGTGAAATCATCTGGTATTAGGGTGGGTTCCTCTAAGAGGAAAAAGTCAGAGAAAAAGGTCACCAGGATGGTCTCCATTGTTGTTGCTGTTTTCATCTTTTGCTGGCTGCCCTTCTATATCTTTAATGTCTCATCAGTGTCTGTGTTTATTGTGCCAACACCTGTCCTCAAGGGCATGTTTGATTTTGTAGTGGTCCTTACATATGCAAATAGCTGTGCCAATCCTATCCTTTATGCCTTCTTGTCTGACAACTTCAAGAAGAGCTTCCAGAATGTCCTCTGCCTGGTGAAAGTCAGTGGCATGGATGAAACGGACAGGAGCGACAGCAAGCAGGATAAGTCCAGGCTTAATGAAGCTACAGAAACTCAGAGAACATTGCTCAATGGAGACCTTCAGACAAGCATCTGAGAGATACCAGCAGTGGTCTGTACAGCTCCGTACTTCTTCATAGAAGGCAGAAGTCCATATTGAATGACAGCAAGAGCTATTGATCCTTCTCTTAACGGAATGGTAAATGTATGTGATGGAAAGGGCACAGGGCACAGATGTACATCACAGCTCTAGGCTAGCTGGTTTTGAAGATATTAATCAAAAGAAGAAGTATATTGTGGGTGATAGACTAGAAACACACATTGGTGTGTGCACAGTAGTACATGCATGTATAAAGGCATGATGCGATCAAGCATAGTAAGAATTTCTATACTAGATCCATCTAAGTAAACCTTTTTTTTTTTTAATCCCTTTACTGGTAAGATTTTTCCAGTACCCATAGATTTTGAAATATTCCATTTCCAGGATTTGAATTATAATTTTCTTTAAAAAAAATGACAAGCACTAAATAAACAAGTTCCAATTCTGAACATTTTTTTCTTAAGCTGGGATCACTGACATCCTCTTCCCATTCTAAAATTAGATACTGTGAAAGTTTTCACTTTGTTCTCTTTTTCAGTTAACAACATTACACTCATGTATTTGAATCAAAATAAAATAGTCCTTTTGTAGGTAGGGAAGGGATGATGGGGAAATGATAGCTGCATAAATATATTATATTGTTAAAAGACCAGCTAATAAAATACGATCTTCAGAATGAAGATTGTAAAGCATGTTGACAGGAGTGCGGAATAGAGAAATGTGTCTGTAGCCAGAATGAGATTCTTTTACTATGAGTTCACAGAGATTATTCATTTTGCCCTGTTGCTATCCCTTTGTTTCCTACATAATGGTTTTCCCACTGAAAGTAGGGCTATCAGATCTCAGCAGCAAATACCAGGATGGCCACTAGATGGTAGGAAAGTGACACTGGAACCTGTCACTCTTTACTGCCATCTAGCCACCTTCATGATTTTTGCAGCCCAGATGTGGCGGCCCCACTAAAAGACCTTTTGTAAGTGGGGCTAATATTACCAAAGTATCAAAGCAGGTTTTCAGCATTTGACAAATGGATCCAAAATCCACACTTGAATAATACTGTTATATGGACCTGCCAACTTTTGTGAAGTGAGCAAGCTTTTAAGGTTTGTAGTTATCTTTAACATATTGGACATTACTCCCAACTTTGACATTTTTAAATAAATCTTAATACAAGTTTTATACGTGGGCTTTTGTTCCTGTTGCTATTTTAAACGGACCCATACAATTACCTACAATATTTGTCAAATAAGGAGTATACTCAGTTCTCAGTGTGGCCCAAATCTTTCTCCCAGGTAAAAGCAAATCCCTAGTGGCTTGCATATGTATGGTTTTGGGAGGAGGGTTTTACTAAAGGCAAAATAATACCTCTTTAATAACCATTTCTATTACCTATGTCCTATCCGTCATTCTGCTAAGATCAGAAAAGATCATGAACTGTTGATACCTGAGTAATAGGTACCATTCATGTATGAAGCAGCCCAGATAAATAACAGTGGCAAATGTGCACTAGCACTAACCTGCAGCTGCCTTTCCTTTACATATTCTTAAGGGTCATGGCTAACTAAAAACAAATCTGGCTAGGCTAACAAAAGAGGAGCCAAGCTGTAAAAATAATCCAGATGAAGAAGGAATCTGTGTGTACTTCCCTACATCAGTAGTAAGGAACCTGTAGATCAGTGTTTTTCAACCTTGGCAATTTTAAGATGTGTGGATTTCAACTCCCAGAATTCCCATGCTGGCTGGAGAATTCTGGGAGTTGAAGTCCACATATCTTAAAGTTGCCAAGGTTCCCAGAATTCTCCAGCCAGCATGGGAATCCCAGAATTCTCCAGCCAGCATGGGAATTCTGGGAGTTGAAGTCCACATATCTTAAAGTTGCCAAGGTTGAAAAACACTGATCTAGATATCCTTTCCTCTTGGTCATCCTATCTGAGGCTGCTGAGAGTTATAGCTAATATCTGATGATGTCCACCGCTTCCTGAGGCCTACCCTTTGTCTACAAGTACTGGGTACTGAACTTGCCTTAGGAGTTCAGTGTATGGAAGATACTCTTAATTCTAAATCCGAGGCTTCCAGTTCAGAATCTGACACTTGGGGCAAAACCTACTGCCAAGCTAAAGTGCTATGCACCCATTTGTGAGCCAGGGGAAATCTAAACCTGCTTAAAATTTGCTGTCCCCACTTCTGAGCCTATTCTGCCTCTATAGCTTCTGCCCTGGCTTGCCACTAAATGGCGGGGGGGGGGGGGTCCTGTCTTTGCATGATGTAGGATGGGTGGGTTAGACAGCCAGCATGCAAATTCTCGCCAAACCCATCTCCCTCTGCACTCGCAAAAAGAGGGACTTTTGAAAGAGCTTTTTCATCCCTTTCTTTACTCCTCCCTCATCACTCTCCTTCATACCACCATCCTGATCTAAGAAGGAAAGCCAGGGAAACAGGCTTCCCTCCAGCTTAGCTTTTGTCAGGCCTTCATGAGTCACAGAAGAGAGACAGAGGATGAATTCCCTCCCCGTGTCCCCTGCGGCATGTTTACACACAGCCCCTGTGCTAAACTCTGCATCCACACTCACAAAAGGTTGGCAGTTCCTCTGCAGGTGTCTTAGGGGTTTGTGTTTGACTGGGAGAAATGGGCTCCTGCACTAAAAGCTCTTTGCTGTGGTGTAGTGATTGTTCGGGTTTTTGCAGACCAGGAATGGTCACCCCAACTTAACCAACCGGTCAGCTTCCCCAGCTGGGATCAACTGTTTGGAGGGCTTGTTCTGAGGGTGCAAAACCAATTGTTAAAATGGACCTGAAGCAAGAGGGCATGACTGCAGTGGCCAGTAGGTACCAGGCTGTCCTCATCCCATATGGATCATCTGACTGTATTGCCAATAGAATAGTTGGCAAGGCATGCTGGCTTTCATACATCTTGAAAGTGCCATTGGTGGCCACTGGCTTTGGGGAAAACCCTTAAAACTGGAGTAGCTAAGGACAATTAGGTTTGTCTCACTTGTGGGGTGGGATGAAGGCATCATTATGGAGAGGCCCATCAGTGAGGAAAAGCTCTCTAAGGAGAAAAATGGGTCTTTAATCCTACCTACATAGAAATCAGGCCTTATTTATGACATGTTAAGGACAGGAAAAAGAGGAGTGTACTATGTAGAACAGTCCTCCTGGCGACCGGTCAGGAGCAGGACTTTAATCCACTAAGCTTCCCTTTCTTCTGGTTGCTCCACACTATCATAGAGCACTATACCCTTTTTCCTTCACCAGTTGAGCTTCTGCCCCAGAATTCTGTATCTCTACATGACTGATAGATTTTGTATGTAGGTCCAAATTAAAATCCTGTCTATTTTAAGCAAGATCTTTTATTTTAGTTCAAGTCTTGGAGTTTCCAAGTTTGTTTAATGAATGGCTGTTATCATAAACTATAACATTAGCCCTATCAAGGAAACCATAGCTTGGGCGATTAAGTTTATCTCTCAGTTATTATCCCCAAGAGAACTGTTGATAAGACAAGGTGCATGTTGATCATTAAAGTCTTGGTATTCTTAAAGATAATTACGTTTTATGATCCTGGATATTTTAACGTGGCTTTTGCTTCCTGGAGTACATGATTACTTGGTCCTCGATCACTACTGGCTACCATGGCTCTTATTTTAGTGGCAGTTCTGAGCACAGGAAACTACTGAATGCAATCTCATCAGGACCTGAGAATTCACAGTCATTGCTACAATTTCATTTACCCAGATATTGGGATAAATTGGTATTTGCCATAGGAGACATAGTAGATTCTGATTTTATTTATTTTATTTATTAAAGCAATTTATATGGCTGCTCAACTCACTCACTGTGACTCCGGGCAGCTTACAGAAATAAAACCCCGAATACAAACCCACTACACTCCCACCCCCACCCCCACCCCAGCAACAGCATACATTCCAACAAACCACTCGATGGGGTTTGTATCAATCTGGGATCCCCAGGTCTGCTGGCAAAATCATGTCTTCAGGGCCTTTCAGGAGAGCATCAAGGTGGGGGCCAGTCCTACCTCTGCGGGGATGATGTTCCACAGGGAGGGAGCCACCACGGCCCTTCTTCTCGGTCCTGCTAGATGGACCTCCTTAATGGAGGGGACCCATAACATACCTTGCCTCCCTGATCTGGTGGGTCGAGCAGACAAAACTGGGAAAAGGCATTCCTTCAAATAACCTGGCAATCAGCTCTATATAATAGAAGTTGTTGTTATTTTTCTGATAAATTGTTACTAAAATGCTATGGACATTTGGACTACCAGATGTAGGTTGCAGAACGTAAGATAACCACTAGGTGACATCAAATAATTGATTTTTTTCTATTGCTTTGCTGCCTCCCAGTTGTTTGTCTGGATTTTGCAGCCCAGTGCTACTAGCCGGTTTACCAAGTAGTACACTTGCCAAGGAAATAAACTTACTTATGAGCCGGAAGGGCTTTATGAACCCTACACAGTAAAGGAGAGGTAGGCAACTAATTGGCAGTCATGGTTTGTTCTATTAAAAAAAAAAAAAAAAAATCAGCATCAACAGCTATAGCTAGATTGAGCAGGGTTGTAACACAGTAACATTCTTGCAAATGAGAGAGGCTGAGATTTTTATATTCTTTTGGATCTAGAAATAAACTTACTTATGAGCCGGAAGGGCTTTATGAACCCTACACAGTAAAGGAGAGGTAGGCAACTAATTGGCAGTCATGGTTTGTTCTATTAAAAAAAAAAAAAAAATCAGCATCAACAGCTATAGCTAGATTGAGCAGGGTTGTAACACAGTAACATTCTTGCAAATGAGAGAGGCTGAGATTTTTATATTCTTTTGGATCTATGGATTTGGAGAGGCACATATATTGTTTTTAATTGTTTATATGCACTAAGCATATCCAAAGGCTTACACACAGTATTTCATTTGTTTTTATTTGGGAAATTGCATCATAATTTGGCATTTTTTGGCAAAGTTCAATAGCTCCATTGGGGGGGAGGGGGGTTACAAAAAGGCCCAGGGGTTCCCTATCGTTATTGGGTTCCCCAGCAACCTTTAAAACAAAAGGAAATGACTCCAAAATTATTTCTTTTTCCCACCTGTGTTTAAGGGCCCCTGAGTCTCTCATACAATCTGTGCATATGCTGCTGTAACTAAATGCAAGGGGAATAAGACCAAAGAAAAGAGACATTTTAGATGAAATATGTATTCCAGCCAGTTGAATGCCAGACCCATACAACCAAAAAGACACTTTACCTTCAGTTTTAGAATTTGTGGTAAAGGTCTGACTGCATGCTTTCTTTAAAATAACAAGAAATACCTATCAGATTCCCCTTTGTGACTGTGGAAAAAGAAAGCTTGAAAATCAGAACCTATGTACAACAATAAAAATATAAAGAACCTCTAATTGTTCAGGGCATT